ATGAGTTAGCATTCCCCTTTCCCACATCTTTGTTAGGATGTGCTATCATTTGTTTTATTACTGATTTTGGCCACTCTGACTGGTATAAGATGAAATCTCAAAGTTTTGATTTGTATTTTCCTGATGGCTAAGATTGTCAAACATTTTTCAAAGTGTTTCTTAGCTATTTGTGTTTCATCTTTTGAGAAAACTATTTAGTTCTCTACCCAATTTTTATTGACTTGTTTTCTTGATGCTCAGGATTTTTGGTTCTTTATATGTTCTATGTATACTCACCCTCTATAATTGGGATTCTTTTTTCACATTCTGTAGGCTGCTGCTTTGCTTGGAGAATGGTATCATTTGCTCTGCAGAAACTGTTTACTTTCATAAGGTGCCACATAGTAATTGTTGATATTGGTGCCTGTGCTTTTTATGATCTGTAAAGAAAGTCATCTGCACACATAAGGTATGCAGATAATCATTCAGGCAAATCAGTTATTCAAAATAGAAAAAATAAAAAATAAATAAAAATTAAAAAAAAAGAAAGTCATTTCTTGTGCCAATGAGTTCAGGCCTACTCACCACTTCCTGTTGTATTCATGGTAACTGGTATTATGTTGAAGTCCTTGATTCGTTCGGACTTGGATTTTGTGCAAGTGATAGACACGAATCTCTTTATCTTATTCTACATGCAGCTATCCAGTTTGATCAGCACCATTTGTTGAAGAAGATACTGTCTTTGCTGCAATGTATCTTTTTCACTTCTTTGTCAAAAATCAGTTGTGGAATTGTCTGGTTCTTCAATTGATTCAATTCAATTCATTGATCAATGTGCCTATTTTAATGCCAATATTGTGCTGTTTTTAGCAAAATTGTTCTGTTATACAACAGGAGATCTGAGGTGGTGTTGACTGAGTTTTCTGTCCTGCCTGGTTCCCGCAGTTGTTAAGTCCCAAAGAAATCACACAGAGGTCTACATTAATCATAAATTCATTGGCCCATTATCTCAGGTTTCTTATTAAGTCTTATAACTTATATCACCCCATTATTCTTGTCTATGTTAGCCATATGGCTCAGTACCTTATTCATTTGGTAGGGCAGTCACATCTTGCTTCTTCCATGGCTGGGCCCAGACTACAGAAGAAACTTCCTTCTTCCCAGAATTCTTCTGTTCTCATTGACTCGCCTCTACTTCCTGTCTTATTGTCCTGCCTTGGCTACTGGCCAATCAGCGTTTATTTAAAATATAATTGACAAGATGATGACCATTGTCCCACAGCAGGATGGTGATACCCCCAGAAGTTCTTATTCATGATTGTTTTAGTTACCTTTGTTTTTTTATGTTTTCATATTAAGTTGAGTATTGTGTTTTCAGTTCCTATGAAGAATGTGTTGAAGCTTTCATGAGGATTGCATTAAGTCTGTAGGGAGATTGTTCCTTCTTCTGATATCTTTTTTAATTTCTTTTTTCAGTGACTTGAAGTTTTGGGTTTTTTTTTTTTTTTTATCATACCAGCCTTTAGAGTTAGAGTTATCACAAGATTTTCTTTGTCTTGATTTCTCCCTCAGTCAATTTGTCATTCATATATAAGAAAACTACTGTTTTCTTGCTACTTTGCTGAAGGTATTTGTCAGCTATAAAAGCTTCCTTGTGGGGTTTTTAGGGTCATTTATGTATACAGTCATATCACCTGTACACAAGGGTGCTTTGCCTTCTTCCTTTCCTATTTGAATCCCTTTTACCTCCTTCAGGGATCTTACTGCACCAGTTAAGACTTCAAGTACTGACTATATTGAACAAGTGTGGAAAGAGTGGGCATCCTTGTTCTTCCTGATTTTAGCAGAAATGCTCTGAATTTCTCTTTGTATAGGATAACGTTGGCTATGGGCTTTATGTAAATCATCTTTATTATATTGAGGAATGTCCCTTGTATCTCTAGTTTCTCTAGCACTTTTATCATGAAGGGATACTGGATTTTGTCAAAGGCCTTTTTTGTATCTAATGATCATGTGGTTTGTCTCTTTATGTGTGGTAGATTGCATTTATCTATGTACTCCTGTTGAACCATCCCTGCAATATCTGGATGAAACCAACTTATGTTTATTCTTTCTGGTGAGATATATCTCTTAAGAATTGAGGTTTGAGCAGTAGTACTATTTGGAACACATTCACCAGCTCAGAGCTTCCATTTGTTTTAAAATGTGTGTGTGTGTGTGTGTGTGTGTGTGTGTGTGTGTGTGTGTGACCCTCAAAGTTTTAGGCATTTTTGCATAGATGTTTCTCATTATTGTATGCCCATAACTGTTTGAGAAATCGTTTCCATTAGGCATGCATGCTTTACTGTGGAGGAGTCGAGCTCTCATTGCAGGAGTGACACCCCTGCTGTGACAGTTCTAATCTTCACTGCTCAGTTGTTCACTCAGCTGTCATAGCTGGTTTACCAGAAGCTTCTTCTGCTAGTGCCCCTTTTCATATTTTTAAGAGGTTTTCTCTAAAGTGTGTCACTGGTTCTCTGTACAATAAATTTTACCCACTGTTACCTTAGGCTGGAAACAAGAGGAAGATGAGTGTCCTTGTTATCATTTGTTAATTTGTTGAAATTGCCAAATACTTCATTGAACAACCTCAATTTTGTTCTGCAAAGGACAAATTTTTCAAGTGTAGGCTTCCTTTCACTGCCTTTTATATATTTTATAAAAGACTACATAGTATATGCTGATTAAAGGTGCTATGTGGGAGGAGCCAAAGGGGAAGGAAATGTCCTTAGGAACCAATTTCACAAAGAAAGCAGGGTTGAAGTACCACAGAGGAGATAGAGAATATAATAACCATTATTACACCATAAGATTAATCCTTGGCCAGCACAATATTTAAGCATTATACATTTAAACACATGCTTTGATATTAGCTTGCTGACTGGTAAATACAAGAGTCCTTTAAAAACAAACAAACAAACACAGGATGAGTTGGAGTTCTCCCTTTGCTCATTGTTGTCTTCTGCCTTCCTGTTCTAGCATTAAATTTTCAAAGTGTAAAAGTAGCGCCATCCATATAAGCACTTAGTCTGCTAAATACTTATTATTTATACAGTGTTCTCAGCATTAAAAACAGCCCATTCCCCTTTGTCTCTAAAAATGGAAATTGCTTTCCTTGCATATCTGGAATTCAACAAATTAATAATGTTTTTAAAAACAAAATATGCATCTTACGTGTTAACTGTTTGCCTCCGATTTCAAGGAACACCTAAGGAGACCTCCTGTGCTCCTAAGAGTCACAAGATTGGGAAGGATTTTAATTACTTCTGCATTGCATAAAATACCTTTGTATGCTTTCTTTGATAAATCCCAGTTCCTACTCTAAATGCTAAGAAATGGGGACTCTAGTGTGATTATTTTCTTCTTTGTAAATGATGTTCTCAAAATGACATTTGTAAGACCGCACTCAAATACTGTCTAGTATTAACATGACTGTTCCAAGCCTCATTCGGGTACTATTTAAATGAAATATTTTCTGTCCTTTCTCTTTTAACTTATTCATGCTTTTAAGTCTAAAATATGTCTCGTATATAGGATCTACCAACCTCAAACTTTACATTGGTATGTATTTAAACAGTTGATACTTAGTATGAGTACCGATAAGGTAGGATATATTTATGGCATTTCCTCTTTGTTTTCTACCTAATGTCACCTTCCTTCTTCTATTTTTCTCATTACTGCCTTCTTAACTGACTTTTAAGGTTTCTTTTTAGTGACTGCCTTAAATGTTACCATAGTATACTACAATTTGTTTAGTCTTCTGTTTGATAGAATTTTTAATTGTTTTCAGTTTTAATTCTAGAAAATTCCTGAGAATTGTGTATGTCTAAGAATTATGATCGTTCATCTCTATTTATATATAGATAGGCAGGTAGGAAGGTAGATCGATTGAACTCCCCTGTGGTGCACATGGTTGTACAGAATTATAATCATTCATCTATATCTATAGATAGGTAGATCAGTTGAACTTACCCTATGGTGCACATGTTCATATATACTTTTGGGGGTGAGTTTTGAGGCAGGGTTTCTCTGTAGCTTTGAGAATTCTGTTTAGATCTGCACCCCATTTTTAACTGTCTAGTTTCTTGAGTTCTTTATATATTTTGGATATTAGTCCTCTATTGGATATGGAGTTGCTAAAAAGTCTTTTCCCATTCTCTACGTTATTACTTTATCCAAATGGCAGTGTTCTTTGCCTTACGAAGCTTTTCGATTTCTTGTGGTCTTATTTATTGATTTTTTTTCTTAGTGTCTGTGCTATTGTTGCTCTGTTGAGAATGTCTTCTCTTGTGCCAGTGAGCTCAAGGCTCTTCCCCATTTTCTCTTCTATTAGGTTTTTATGTTGAGCTCTTTGATCCATTTGAAGTTGAGTTGTGTCATATTCCCTTTAAATAACTTTCCCTGTATTCCCTTACATATCTAAACTGTTTTCTGTTGTTGTCCTCTTTTACAGATAAACAAACTGAGGACATATATATGTCAATCTAGTAGCCAGAGTGACAGAGGATTCAAATCAAGTTTAGCTGATTCCAAAGTCATTTTAAACCACTTTCCTTTATTACCTAATGAGACAATAAAGTCAGAATCCAGCAATGCATAGAAGGACCTGTTGCTTCCCCAGTATTGTGACTGGAAACATGCTTACCATTTCCATCGGTGTTAACAACTGCTGTCACTGATCCACCTCTTTAAGAGCATGAATACGTTGGGTACCCTCTAAAGATCAGAGTTGCATAGTCAGGGCACTCATAAGTACATCGAGAAGATTTTAGAGACTTCTAGTTTCCACAGAATACTGGCTACCAGACTGGATTTTTTGCAGAACACAGCCCTTGTGAGGTCTTCTGGCATCTACACCTGGCTTGGCATCCCGGTGCTGTCCGTTCTGAGTGCAGATGAAAGCCTTAACTGTCCTTTCCCTTTCGTAGTTATGAGAGACACTTTTGCAAATAAAAGTTAACATAGCTTCCTTGTTTCCTCAGGTCTCACAGTGACAGCTGTAAAAGACTCAGGAGAATGGAATTTGGAGGCTGGGGCCTTGGTGCTTGCAGATGCTGGCCTTTGCTGTATTGACGAATTTAATAGCCTCAAAGAGCATGACAGAACCAGTATCCATGAAGCAATGGAGCAGCAAACCATAAGCGTCGCTAAGGCTGGGTAAGCATTTCTGTTCTTTAAAGTCTATGGAAGTAGAGAGACTATTCAGTATAAAATCAAGGAAAATGGGAATCTTTTGGTACACTCAGGGGTTATGGTTATCAGTTATCACTCTCTGATTACAAGGTTTTTCTTATTAGAATATAGAAGTGAATATGGAAATAAAAAGTGAATTATTGAGAAAAAGTAAGGTTAAAAATAAAGTATAGAAGTAGACTTTCTAAGTATACTTTTTCTGTGTTACAGACACCATGACCAGTGCAGCATTTAACCGAGGCTTGCTTATCCTTCCAGAGTCTGTCGTGGTGGGAAGTGTAGTGCAAGGCAGACAGGCATGGCGCAGGCACAGTAGCTATGAGCTTACATCCTGTTCCTCAGGCAGCAGGCAGAAAGAGAGCAAGACTGGACCTGGAGGTGGCCTTTTGAAACCTCAGAGCCTTCCCCAGTGACACATGTCCTCAATCAAGGCCACACCTCCTAATCCTTCCTAAACAGTCTACTAAACTGGCTCATGGAGCAGTCCCATTCAAACCACCACATTAACTGACTCGGCACCTCTCTTTCAACACAGGACTCTACTTCTTTTCATAAAAATTGTGTATGTACTCAGGGCATATTGATTATTAGATTTTGAAAGATTCATGGAGTATAATAGAGATAAATCTAGTGAAATATCTTCTAAGATGATACCTGAAAACTGTAAAGATGTAGAAGACCGGGGAGACAGGTAATGTTGTTAGGATGTAAATTCTCCCAACCAGTCTGTAGGCTCCAGGCTGTCCCAGTCAGAATTCTAACTAGGAGTTTATCTTTATATAAGTTAATAAGCTGATTTTAAATTTTACAAAGAAAGAAAGGCACAGAAGCTAGGCTTACCAAAACAAGTGTGAAAAGGATAAATATGGAGAAGCATATGACCCAGCTGTACCTTTCTTGGGTATGTACTTTAAAAAGTCACATACAGTATTTATTGCCGCCCCACTCACAGTCTTTGGAAGTGGAAGTCAACAATGAATGAATGAAGAAAATGTGCTATATATGCAAAATGGAGGTTTATTTAGCCATAACAGAGAATGAATTAGGAAAATGAATAGACCTGTAAATCATGTGTTAAGCAGACTAAACTAGACTCAAAGTCAAACCCCACATGTTTTCAGTTATGTGGAAAGGGAGGAAGAAATCTTACCAGAGCAGGAAGGAGGGAAAGGAGGGCAATGGAAAACGTGTGACATGAGAGCGGAGAGGACTCTTTAGAGGGAGGATGGACCAGCAGGAGGGGCATGGCAGGGCAGTGAGGAAGGACACATATAGAGCAAAGTGTAATTGATACATGTTTGAAAATAATGGAGCCCATGACTTTATATACTAACTTAAAATTCATTTTAAAAGAAACTTATGTAAATGAAATAATATGCTAGAACACTTTGATATCCATATGCAAAAAAGGACCTGTACAAACATGGTTTATAGCAGCTTATGGGGACATGAGCCCATCTGTACATAAAATTCTAGAAAAGGCAAACTGTGGAGAGATCCAGTCAGTGTTTGCTGTAGGTTAGGGAAGACAAATGACTACAGAAAGACACCTTAAAGGGATGGCATTTTAGTGTTGTGTAAATTATACCACAGTAATTCTTATTCCTAAAAACAAGGGAGCTTAAGCATTTGCCCCCAAATGACTCTGTCAGATTGCTGCTGAGGTTTTTCTTCCTCTTCTTAGCTAGTGTCAATGTGTGAACATAGTTCACAGCTTCTCTTTGGGCTTCGTTAGTAAACATGCATAGAATATATCACGTAAGAAGAGCTTGAAGGAAATAGCGGTATCTGGGACACTGGGAGACTAACCCACGGTTGCTCTATTGTAAATGAAATAACGTCTCCCAAAGGAAATATTTTGAAGAATAATTTTCAAATTGGATTTCCTTGTCTGAGGAGAAGAAAGGGACTCACCTTAGAGTAGTAGAAACTGTTGTTGCTACTTCTGGGCAGCTTTTCGTTGTTTCTTCTGTAAACCATCTAGTAGATACATAATGTGCATTAATTATACTGTTCGCCTAAGCAGAAGCTTGAACATTTAATGAATTGTTCACTGGGTCTTTCTGTGTGGATTGTCATGCCCTGGACACATGAGGATGGGCATTACACAAAACATTTGTATTTTGTTTTAAAGTAAACTTCCCATGTGCTTCTGCTTCTTCTTGACCTTCTATCCAGTGTTAATACTTCCTTGAATGGATGCACTCACCACATAATTGTGGTATTTTACCTTCTGTTCTTTTTAAATTTTTTAAGAATCTTTACTTTGCAAAGCCATTTAGGATATTTATTTCATTTAAAAAGTATTGTAGGGATTTGGAGAGGTAGCTCGGTGGTTAAGAGCATTGGTTGCTCTTCCAGATAACCCAGTTTTGATTCATAGCACCCATGTGGTGGCTCATAACTGTTTGTAACTCCAGTCCCAAGGTATCCAAAGCCCTTTTCTATCAGGCCTCTAAGGTATCAGACACGCAGGTGGTACAAAGACAAACATGCAGGCAAACACTCATATGCATAAAATAATCATTTAAAAAATTAAATATTGTAATTTACACATTCAAAGAGTGATAATTCAAGGATCATGTTCTCTACTTATTACAGCGAAATTGGGTTATATTCACTCTTCTTGTGTTGATATTATTGGCATTCTGTCCCACATAACTATTCCTAGATTCATAAAGACTTTATACTATTTTAGTGTTAGCATTTATATTAAAGATTCAGTTCCTAGCATTGCATAGTATGCAATTATATCAGTTTTGTACATTAGATTACTCTATATTGAAAAGGATTCTTTTTCTTTATAGATTCAGTGAAGATAATTGTAATTTCATTATGATAACAAAGCTGAAATTACTATATTCTCTGAATTTAGTAACTTTTCCAGTCTATTTTCTTGGATAGAAGGATTCACGTGTTGACATGCAATGTGGCACAAATTCTAATTGTTCTTAATTATAAAAACTTGGAGTCATATATAGGGGTTAATGCTGGAAGATAAGAGAAGCAGAACAGCCAGCCAGTAGAGAGTTCTTACCTCTACCAATGCTCAGACCAAAGGTGCGATCCTATCTCTATGAATCTTCAGACTGCATCTCAGACTGAATCCTCAGACTGCAATGAGCTCTTGTCTCCTTGTTTTCCTCTCTCTGCCCAGCCATATCACTCCTGTCTCCACCTCCCCATTGCTGGGATTAAATGCTGGGATCACCTTTGTATAAACTCTGTTTCTCTTTTAGACAGATTTAATCTGGCATAGCCCAGGGTGGCCTTGAACTCACAGCCCTCTGTCTATCTCTGTTCTAGAGTCCTAGGATTAAAGGTGTGTGACACCACTGCCTGGCCTCTATGGCTAACTAGTGGTGTAGCATTGCACTCTGATCCTCAGGCAAGCTATACTATGGAAAAGTCAAAATGATCATTGTAGAGAATAAAAGTTCCTGTCTCAAAGACAGCTGGCATCGGTGGCAACCTAATAGGTTTTGGACCTTGTGGGGCAGGCCTGTCTTCTTTTAGTCTCTGTAAATGAATGCCACTGCCCTTCCTTCCAAGATCTTCAGTCTCTGTAAATGAATGCTATTACCCTTCCTTTCAAGATCTTCTTTTGTTGTTGTTGTTTCTGTTTTTACATTCTTTTTGTTTGGTTGGTTTTGTTTTGTTTTTTACTCTTTTTTATGCTTTTCTTTTGGGAGGGCTTTCTTTTTTATTGATATTTATTGAACTCTACATTTTAATCTACTCCCCTCCCTGCCTCTCCCCTCCCCCAAGGTCCCCATGCTCCCAATTTACTCAGGAGATCTTGCCTTTTTATACTTTCTATTTCCCATGTAGATTATATCTATGTAAATCTCTCTTAGTGTCCATATTGTTGTCTAAATTCTCTGGGATTGTGGTTTGTAGGCTGGCGTTCTTTGCTTTATGTTTAAAAACCACCTATGAGTGAGTACATGTGATAATTGTCTTTCTGTGTCTGGGTTACCTCACTCAAAATAATGTTTTCTAGTTCCATCCATTTTCCTGCAAAATTCAAGATGTCATTATTTTTTTCTGCTGTGTAGTACACCATTATGTAAATGTACCACAGTTTTCCTATCCATTCTTCAATGGAGGGGCATTTAGGTTGTTTCCAGGTTCTGGCTATGACAAACAAAGCTGCTATGAACATAGTTGAGCACATGTTTTTGTGGCACAATTGAGCATCCTTTGGATATATACCCAAAAGTGGTATTACTGGGTCTTGAGGAAGGTTGTTTCCTAATTTTCTGAGAAATCGCCACACTGAAATCCAAAGGGGTTGTACCAGCTTGCATTCCCACCAGCAATGCAGAAATGTTCCCTTTTCCCCACAACCTTTCCAGCATAAGTTGTCATCAGTGTTTTTGATCTTGACCATTCTTACAGGTGTAAGATGGAATATCAGGGTTGTTTTGATTTGCATTTCTCTGATGTTAAACATTTCCTTAAGTGTCTTTCAGCCATTTTAGATTCCTTTGTTGGGAGTACTCTGTTTAGGTCTGTACTCCATTTTAATGGATTATGTGTTCTTTTGGTGTCCAATTTCTTGAGTTCTTTGTATATTTTGGAGATCAGACTTCTGTCTGATGTTGGGTTAGTGAAGATCTTTTTTCATTCTGTAGGCTATTGTTTTGTCATGTTGACCGTGTCCTTTGCTTTACAGAAGCTTTTTAGTTTCAGGAGGTCCCATTTATTAATTGTTTCTCTCAGTGTCTGTGCTGCTGGGGTTATATTTAGGAAGTGGTCTCCTGTGCCAGTGCATTCAAGTTCTTCCCACTTTCTCTTCTATAAGTTTCAGTGTGGCTGGCTTTATGTTGAGGTCTTTGATCCATTTGGACTTGAGTTTTGTGCACGGTGATAGATATGAGTCTATTTTCATCCTTCTACATGTTGATACCAGTTATGCCAGCACCACTTGTTAAATATGCTTTATTTTACATTTGATATTT